GCAGAGGGCATGGCAATATACTTAGAGAATCCTAAAGTCTCTACCAAAAATCTCCTAGAAACAATTAATTTGTATAATTGAGTGCCAGGTTACAAAATGAATACCCCAAAGTCCATGGTTTCCTATGTGAAAATAATGAAAGAGACAAAGTGATATATATTTTTTAAAAAATTCCATTTACAATTGTGTCACAGAAAAAGCAAGTTTCTCAGAATCAGCTTAACTAAGGAGGTAAAGGACCTGTACAAAGAAAACTACAAAACAACACTTCAAGAAATAAAGGGGGACATGAGGAAATGAAAACATATTCCCCTACTCTTGGATTGGGAGATTTAACATTGTCAAAATGGCAATAATCACCAAAGCGTTATACAGATTCTGTGAGGTCCCTATGAGGATACCCATGATATTTTCCAAAGAAATTAATCAAACAGTCCTGAAATTCATATGGAACAATAAATTCCCATGAATAGCTAAGGTTATTCACATGATATCCTTCTGATAAGGGGATAATATCAAGGATATACAGGCACTGGCAGAACTTCACAAGAAAAAACACCTAACCCCATCAAAAAATGGGAGAGAGGTTCAGAAGCTTCTTAGTTTAAGATAGTCCCATTTATCTATCTCTGTTTTCACTTGCTTGGCCAGTGGCGTGGCATCTTTGAAGATACCATTAGCTTCAATATCATGGAGGGTTTTGCCAACTTTATCTTCAATGTACCTTATGGTTTCTGGTCTGATGTTGAGGTCTTTAATCCATTTTGATCTTACTTTTGTACATGGTATTAGGCAGAGTTCTGAGCCTATATTTTTGCATGTAGCCGTCCAATGATGCCAACACAATTTATTAAAGAGGCTTTCCTTACTCCACTTCACATTACTTGCACCTTTATCAAAGATTAGATGATCATATGATTGAGGGGAGATGTCAGTGTATTCAACCCTGTTCCATTGGTCTGCAGTTCTGCCTTTGTTCCAGAAACAGTGACCAAAATACAAAGACAGTCTACAGAATGGGAAAGGATATTCGCCGAATACACATCTGACAAGGGGTTGGTATCCAGGATATACAAAATACTGGTTAAACTCCACAAGAAGAAAACATCCAACCCCATCCACAAATGGGGCAATGAAATGAACAGAAACTTTCTCAAAGAAGAAATCCGAATGGCAAAAAAGCACATGAGAAAATGCTCTACATCATTAATCATCAGAGAGATGCAGATCAAAACCACAATGAGATACCATCTCACACCTCAGAGACTGGCCCACATTCAAAAGAACAAAAGCAACCAATGCTGGCGTGGATGTGGCGAGAAAGGCACACTCCTTCACTGTTGGTGGGAATGTCCACTGGTTCAGCCCTTCTGGAAAACAGTATGGACGATTCTCAAAAAATTAGAAATTGAGCTTCCATTTGACCCAGCAATACCACTCCTGGGAATATATCCCAGAGAGGCAAAAATGTATAGTCGAAGTGACATCTGCACTTGTTTGTTCATTGCAGCACTCTTTACAATAGCCAGAAACTGGAAGAAACCTGAATGCCCAAGAACAGATGACTGGTTAAAGAAACTTTGGTACATCTACACAATGGAGTACTATGTAGCTCTTAGAAAAGATGAAGTCATGAAATTTACATACAAGTGGTACAATATGGAAAGTATCATGCTAAGTAAAATGAGTCAGAAAGAGAGGGATAGACATAGAAAGATTGCATTCATCTGGGGGATATAAAGTAACAAAGTATGAGATTAATACCCAAGAATAGCTGAGATCAGCACCAGGAGAATTACTCCATAATTTAGAGGCCAGCCGGGTATCCTAGAGGAAAGGGCAGTTCAGATAGAGAAGGGAGCACCAAATAAAGGATGTTTGGAGGATCCTCCCAGGAGGGGAGATGCATGTCGAAAGTAGACTACGGACTGAACATGTTTGCCACTCAATGCCTCTTTTGCAGACCACAACACCCAAACGGAGAGAGAGAACACAGGGGATTGCCCTGCCACAGAGGCAGGGGGGGGATGGGGGGATGGGGGTGGGAGGGATATTATCCATGGTGGTGAAAAACGGGCACTGGTGGAGGGATGGGTATCTGATCATTGTATAATTGAAACCCAAGCACAAAAAATTGTAAATCTACAACTGTAAAAAAAATAAAAATAAAAAAAAGGAAAAAAAATGGGAGAGAAGAAATGAACTAACTTCCTCAAGAAAGAAATTTGAATAGCCAAAAAGGCAGATGAAAAAATACTCCATATTACTAATCATCAGGAAGATGTAAATCAAAACAACAATGAGATATCATCTCACATCACAAAGACTGGCACATATCCAAATAAACAAGAACTAGTACTAGCACAGATGGGAGGCAGAATAGACTCTAATTCATTGCTGGTGGAAATGCTGACTGGATAACCCTTGTTGAAAACTATATGGACATTCCCTTTAAAACTAGAAATTGAGTTTCCATTTTACCCAGTACTACAAATTCTGAGAATATACACTGGGAGTCAAAAAACACACAACAGAAATACCATCTGGACTCCTATATTCATTGCAATATTTACAATAGCCAGAATCTGGAAACAACCTGAGTGCCTAGGAACAGATGAATGGATAAAGAAACTAAGGTACCTCTACACAATGGAATACTACACAGTTGTTAGGAAAAATGAAGTAATGAAGTTATGAAATTTGTTAATAAATGGATGGATATGTAGATTATCATGTTCAGTGCAATGAGTCAGAAGAAAAGATAGAATGTTTGCATTCATTTGTGGAGTAACATATATATATATGTATATACATATATTTGTCACATATATGTGTGAGAGAGAGAGAGAGAGAGAGAGAGAGAGAGAGAGAGAGACTTATTGTTAAAGGCAGGAAAATCAGGGGCCAGGATGACCGGTTAATGTTTGGAAATTACCACAAGTGTATAGCGGTAGAAGGTAGCTAAGATAAAGGAGGGTTCAGTATGACAACAATAGTTAAAAATGATCATTCTGGTTAAGAACTGAGTACTGAAAATAGATAAAGGTATATACATGATTAACTTCAAGCATCTGTATTGTAAACCATAATGCCTAAAATGAGACGAGGAAAGAGAGGAGCCTGACATACAGGCAGGCTGGGGTGGGGGTGGAGGGGTTGGTAGGGTGGGAGGGAAGCTGGGGACATTGATGCTGTGAAATTACACTGGTGGAGAGATGGATATTGGAACATTGTATGACTTGAATCAAATCATGAACAGCTTTTTAATGCTCTATCTCATGGTGATTCAATTAAATATTTTTTCAAAGCCATTTAATCTTTTGCTGTTGTTTATTTTCTTGAGGGGCCACAGCGGTGCTAAGGGATTACTCCTGGCTTTGCATTCAGGAATTTTTCCTGGCAGTTCTTGAGGGGCCATATGGGGTGACTGGGATTTAACTTGGGCTGGCTGCATGCAAGCTGTACTATCCCTCCAGCTCTCAATTTAAGCTTTTGCTTCTCACATTGATTTTTTTCATTTATGAAGCAGATATAATCATTTATACTCTGTAGGATTATTTAAATTTTTAAATATGTTTTAAACGTTAATGTTTTAGTTAAAAATATTAAGTTTGGGTTGGAGAAATAGCTCAAAGTGCTGGAGCACACGCTTTGCAAGCTGGATTCCAGGATTGCATTCCTGCCAACACATAGGCCCCCAACCTTCAGATGTTGATAACCCCTGAACACTTAAATTTGTGTCCCCGTTTAAAAGAATTTTAAATGAAATGCATAACATTGAGGCTATAAATCAGTATGAATTTAATAAGCATCAGTTTTAAAGTTTTACATATGAATAACAAACTTCTGTGTAAAACAAAGTGAAAATGGGAAGAACCATCCCTTTGATCCATATAGCAATTTTCTAATAATACAAACGTTAATAGTAATAGCACAGCAGGTAAGGCGTTTGTCTTGCATGCAGACAACATGGCTGACCCGGGTTTGATTCCTCTGCCCCTCTCTGAGAGCCCGGCAAGCTACTGAGAGTATCTCTCCCGCAAGGGAAAGCCTGACAAGCTACCTGTGATGTATTCCGCATGCCAAAAACAGTAACAATAAGTCTCACAATTTATTGTGAAATGTTACTGGTGCCCGCTTGAGCAAATCGATGAACAATGGGAGTACAGTGCTGCAGTGCTATATATGAGTAAAAATTAAAATTATTTTGTAATAATATAATACCTTATTTATAGCAATTTGGGGCTGGAGCGATAGCACAGTGGGTAGGGTGTTTGCTTTGCACATGGCTGACCCGGTTCTATTCCTCCATCCGCCTTGGAGAGCCCGGCAAGCTACAGAGAGTATCCTGCCCATAGGGCAGAGGCTGGCAAGCTCTCCTCAGCGAGTTCGATATGCCAAATACAGGAACAACAAGTCTCACAATGTAGATGTTACTGGTGCCTGCTTGAGCAAATTGATGAACAGTGGGAAACAATGTTACAGTGCTACATTAATTTGAAGGATAATCATTAACACATAAGGACATAGATATTTCATTAGATATTAGTGTCAATCTCTTTCCTACATATATTTGCATAAATAAACATGCTTGGTTTTAAATATTTTCTGTAGTGAAGACAGTTTGAGTTTGAAGGAATTGATGATATTAAATATTGCTTTTGAGTTGTGACATTTACTTACATCAATGAAAATGGTTTCTCAATATGTAGCTATATATTTTGAAGAATTCTGGAAGTGGAAAATTTTTAGAAATCATGCTTTTATCAAATTATTATTGTGAAATTCTCTTCTTCATGATGTTGAATATAAACTAAAAGATAGTAGTGGAGTCAAAATGACCGGTGCATAGTCAACCTTTCTGAAAAAAATTGCTAGTGATAAATGGTGTAGTTTGAAACACAACCTGGAGTAGTTCTTCTTTCAATTTTAAATGTTAATATACTCTCTGTTTATTCAGACTGAAGGGTCCATTGGTGTCTCTTTGTGTTTGTTTACAGGCACTGTCACAGATCACCATCTTTCTGCGAGTTTGTTTTATTATACTGACCTTGACCTCCATTGGATTTCTTTTGGATGAAAGGCAAGAATTGAAATTATTTTATTTTATTTTTAATACTATGAGTTGTAATTAATAACCAATATTTATTTGTAAAAGTATATTCATGGAATATTGAGGAAGTTCATATTTTCTTAGTGATCTTAAGATTTCAATCTCTAACCAGGAGAAAACATACATACCTATACTGCCTCATAACAATCTATAGTTCAACTCTTTGAAATGCTTTTCTGAATTTTGAGATGTGCTTTTGAATGGTATCACCCTGTTTTGAAAGTTGACATGTCAAACAGTTCATGTTTATTGATTATTCTAACATTATTGTCCACCACAGTACATAGTATAATCAATAACTTGCAGCTATCCAGAGTTAGGTCACTCTTCTCAAGATACAGTCCTCTACAGAACTGACCTCACTTAAAACATCAGCTTCATATTTGGGCTCCATAGTCAATGCCATTGCTTTTGAGGGAGGGGAGGGGATATTTCTATGGAAATCAAACCCAGGGCTTCTCACATGTAAAACAAGTGCCATGGAACAACACGGCCAGTCACATCTTCACTTCTTTTTTTTTTTTAATTTTTAATTTAATTTTTTTTTTTATTAGTGAAACACTGTGAGGTACAGTTGTGGACTTACAAACGTTCATGTTTGGGTTTCAGTTATACAATGATCGAGTACCCATCCCTCCACCAGTATCCATTCTTCACCACCAATGGTCCCAGTAGCTCTCCCACTCCCACACCCCATCCCCCCACCCCACTCTGCCTCTGTGGCAGGGCATTCCCTTTGCTCACTCTTTCCTTTAGGGAGTTGTAGTTTGCAATAGTGGTTTTGAGTGGCCATCATGTTTGGTCTATAGTCTACTTTCAGCACGCATCTCACATCCTGATCTTCACTTCTTTTCAAGAAATAAAATGTCGCATCTTATTTTGATTGAATTTTAAATGTTAGTTGTTTTACTTAGGTCATGTATTGTAACAGAGTACATTTTACAGCTTTAATTTGCATAATGCTGATTACTACGCAAATTTACCACCTCACTACAAGTGTCAATAGAATACCAGAATATCTAGGTCCATTCTACCTCTTGCACCCCTATTTTTTAGTCTTAGCTGTTATGTTCCCAGTATTTCAGTTTGTTTTCATAGGAGACTGTTAAACCTTTTGCTTTGTTTCTTTATACTCCACACACAAGCAAGATTATTTGGTATTTGTCTTTTTTCTTCTGACTCACTGCACTTAATATGACACCGACTCGTTCTATGCATGTTGCAATGAGCTGTTCGACTTTGTCTTTTTCCATAGCTGTGTTGTATTCTGTTGTATATACATACCAGAATGTCTATTGTTATTTCTTGTTTTGATGTTGGTGAGTTGCCTTCTTTCCATACCCTGTCTATTTGTTCTAAGCTCTGAAATAAACATAGGGCTGCACATCTCTTTTCAATTTAATGTTGCTGTGTGTTTGGAGGTTAGATGCCAAAAAGTGGAACTGCTGGATCAAATGGAAGTTCTATTCTTACATTTTAGAGAAATCTCTATTATTATTTTGTGGCGGCTGAACCAGAGAACATTCCCACCAGTAATAAATGAGGGTTTTTAGCATATTTCTGCCAACACAGATTGTTTCTGTCTTTTCTTAAAGGTCTTTCTCTTGTAAAATGTTTTGATTTTCTTTGTGAGTGCTTTATTTGTCTTGGATATTAGCCCTTTCTCTGATGTATGGCACACAAATATTTTCTCCCATTCAGTAAAAGATCTTTTTATTTTAATCTGAGTTCTTTTTGCTGTGAAAATCCTTTTTAATTTGGTGTAACTATTTTTTATTTATATTTATATTTACATTATATTTGTTAATGGAGTCAGATAATTGAAGGCACCTGTGATGTCCATATTTGGGTGGCTTATGTTTTCCTCAATGTTTAGTATGAAATCTGATCTAATCTCAAGGTCTTTTATGCACTTTGACTTAACTTCTGTGAGTGGAAGTGGTGTGAGATAAAGTTCCAGTTTCTTTTCTTTTCTTTTTGGACCACACCCACTATGCTCAGGGATTACTCCTGGCTCTGTGCTTAAGGGTCACTCCCAGCCACTCAGGGGACCATATGGGGCGCCAGGAAATGACTCCAGGTCTGACATGTGCAAGTGCCTTTTTTGCTATACTGTCTCTCCATCCAGTTTCTTTCTCTTGTTCTCTCTCTCTCTCTCTCTCTCTCTCTCTCTCTCTCTCTCTCTCTCTCTCTCTCTCTCTCCCTCTCCTCTCTTTTCCTCATGACTTTCCAGTTTTGTTAAAACTATCTGTTAAAGAGACATTCTTTACTCTCCTTAAAACCTTAGCTCCTTTGTCATATATTCAATTGCTCACAAAAACATTCTGAGATTATGAATGCTATTAAATTGGGGATATAACTCAAAGGACTGGTACTTATATTGGATATTATTCATTTTTCCAAGGTACAATGGTCTCTGAAAGAGCTGCATTCTCTAGAGTTATATCAAATGAATAAATTTTTTGGTTAACAAAATTCTTGATAGTATGCATTCTCTAGAAAGGTATCTTAAAGAATAAAGCAGTTAACACTCTTCAGTATTATATATAGGCAATTTGTAGAACTCATTTTCTCTCATACTTTAAAAATACGTTTGTCATTTATTTGATTTGACTCTTCATCCTCACTTTTCTATACTGGACATACATTCAAGTAGTAAAAAGAAAAGGGAATACAAAGGAAAATAAGTCACAAAAACATCAAAACTGACTACCAAGATTTAAATAATCAAGATTGCATGCTCTTACCTTGAATTTGCAATCGCTAATGTAGAATTGGATAGTTTGATGCTTTAATAAATACTTATTATACAGGTCTCTCTGGGTTGCTTAGAGGCTCAGATTTGGGAGTGGGGAGGCACTCTCTGTAAAAACACCATTTCTGTGGTGCAAGCCTGATGGTTAGGGATTGAGGCCCAGTCCTGAAGGCTGTGTGGGTCCAACAGGGCTGGGGACCACCAAGGTCATATGGATACTCTGGTATCAGGAGATTAAATTTAGGACCTCAGGCATGAAAGGAATCCACCATTCCCCAGGCTATTCCTCTGGCTTTAATGAAGAAAAAAGCAATCCTGTTCACAATCATACCCCAGAAAATCAAGTTCCTAGAATTAGCTTAACTAAGGAGATTAAGGATAAAGAAAACTATAAAACCCTACTTCACAAAATGAAAGAGGAAACAAAGAAATGGAAACATATCCCCTGCTCATGGATAGGGAGAATCAACATTGGCAAAATAGCAATGCTCCCTAAACCATTATACTATGTGATTCCTATAAGGATACCCATGAAATTCTGCAAAGAAATGGATCAAGGACTCCTGAAATTCATATGGAAAAACAAACACCCATGAAGAGCTAAAGCAATTCTTGGGAAAAAGAATATGGGAGGCATCACCCTCCCTAACCTCAAACTCTACTAGAAAGCGGTAACAATTAAAACAGCATGTTACTGGGACAATGGTAGTGCTGCAGACCAGTGGAAAAGGGTGGAATATCCCTAAACACAACCCAAAATGTATGAACATCTACTCTTCTATAATGAAGCAAAAAATGTGAAGTGGAGCAAGGAAAGCCTTTTTATTAAGTGGTGCTGGCATAACTGGGCAAGCACATGCAAAAGATTGGGCTTAGATCTCAACCTAACACAAAAGTCAGATCAAAATGGATTAAAGACCTCAACATCAGACCAGAATCCATAAGGTACATTGAAGACAAGGTCAGCAAAACCCTTCACAATATTGAAGGTATTTTCAAAGATGATATACCTCTGACCAACCAAGTGGAAACAGAGATAAACGAATGGGACTGTATTAAATTAAGAAGCTTCTGCACTGCAAAAGATACAGTGACCCGAATACAATATCAATCTACAGAATGGGAAAGAATATTCACCTAATACCCATCCGATAAGGGGTTGATATCAAGGATATATAAGGCACTGGTTGGACTCTACAAGAAGAAATCATACAACCCCATCAGAAAATGAACAGAAACTTTCTCAAGGAAGAAATCTGAACAGCCATAAGGCACATGAAAAAATGCTCTTCATCACTAATCATCAGGGAGATGCAGATCAAAACAACTATGAGATACCACCTCACACCACAGAGACTGGTACATATGTACATATCCAAAAGAACAAAAGCAACAGGTGTTGGCGTAGATGTGGGGAGAAAGGGACTCTCATACACTGCTGGTGAAAATGCTGACTGATTCAGTCCTTTTGGAAAACAGTATGGATGCTTCTCAAAAAATTAGAAATTGAGCTCCCGTTTGACCCAGCAATACCACTCCTGGGAATATATCCCGGAGGGGCAAAAAAGTATAGTAGAAATGACATCTGCACTTGTATGTTCATTGCAACACTGTTTACAATAGTCAGAATCTAGAAAAAAAAAAACGAGTGCTTGAGAACAGATGAATGGTTAAAGAAATTCTAGTACATCTACACAATGGAATATCATTCAGCTGTTAGAAAAAATGAAATCACTAACTTTGCATATAAGTGGATCAACATGGAAAGTATCATGCTAAGTGAAATGTGTCAGAGAGAGACAGACATAGAAATATTGCACTCATCTGTGGAATATAATGTAACAGAATGGGAGACTAACACCCAAGAATAGTAGAGATAAGTACCTGGAGGCTTGCTCCATGGCTTGGAAGCTGGCCTCACATGCTGGGGGAAAAGGCAGCTCAGATAGAGAAGGAAACACCAAGTAAAGTGTGAAAGTGTGGTTGGTCCTGCTCAGGATGGGAGAATCGAACTGGCTCAGCCAAGCTGGCTGAGTGCAAGGCAAACGCCCTACCACTGTGCTAATCCTCCAGCCCAGGGCTTTTATCAAATTGACTTATATAAAATTTTGTGTCATATAAAAGTTTCGCCACCAACTACCAAGATTTATTATTCAACTACAGTAATTATATATGTTTTATGTGCACAGGTATTAAAATTGATGATCTAGAAACAGATCTATTATATATACATATATAAGCTTGATTTGTGACAAAGGTGTTCATGCAGAGCTATGGGAGAAGGTTGTCTTTTCAATGACTGATTTTAGAAAACCTGATTTCACATAGGAATAAGAAAAATAAACTGAGCATATATATCACATCATAAAAAATTAGTCCTGGGGTCAGGGGATTATAGATTTAAACTTGAGAGGAAAGAGAATAAACATTAGCAGCTAGCATAGTAATACAACTCTAACAATGTAGCAGGAAAAATATTAAGTCTTATAAAGAATTTGCAAATAATGAAGTAGATTACAATTATATAAACAAAGTGAATTATGCAAAAATTAACTCTAAGAGTAAAGAGTGAAACCTTTAACTTAAGTAAGGTGCTAACAAATTTTCTAAGTAGCATAGACCTTGTATCCAACATGACTGAGATTATTATTGGGAAATACCAGCTATTTGTCTGCTTTCGACTGAAAAGAATTTATACTGTGGTACCAAGTTTGAAAAACTGACATTTTTACTATTGACCAAAAGCAAAAGAAAAGTTTTTAACATTCGTAACACTAGTTGTGAGGTAAATAGACCATTCATATTCATATAAAGAAAAATGATGAAAGTTTTAAAACTCAGATATGTAAACTAAATAGTAAAAATACAAAGTAAATGGATCGAAAAGGTGTGTGATCACTATAAAAGTCAGGGAAGATATCTATAATGGAGATGTAAGACATGTCTTTTGGATTTGATATGAGATAGGGGTTATAAAATAGTTTATTTGTTGAAAAATTGGAAGTTGCCTTTCCTGGTTTGTATACTTCACCATATGTAATGTTAAAAATTCGAATCGTTGATATCAGCGATAATTTCTTTTTCTCATTAAAAATTACTCACATAGAGGGACCTGAGCAATAGTACAGCAATAAGGTATGTTTGTCTTGCACTTGGTTGACAGTGTTTGATCCCCAGCATCACATATGGTCCCCCGAGCACTGCCAGTGGTGATAACTGAATGCAGAGCCTGGAGTAAGCCCTAAGCATTACCAGGTGTGACCCCCCCATTAATTAAATAAAACTACTCACACATAATTTAGAAATTAATCTATAGACACTATATAATAATATTTGACAAGTGATATTTTAATAGAATAGCTATTTTCTTCTACATGAAAGAAAATTAAAAACAGTTTATTTTGAGTGTTCTGTTTCTGAAAAAATGTAAATTTTATGGAAATAAAATGTCATAATTAATAGACTAAAATTATTTTTCATAGATAAATACACTACTTGGATATTCCTCATCTATTTCTCCTATATTTTTAGCTTTACCTATGATACTTAACTATTCAAAACATGAATGTATTTTATATTTATTTTTGAATTTGAATTTTAAGAGTAGCATAACCAGAATATTCATCACGAAATAATTAGCCAAGATCTGCATATATTCTATGTCAAATTATGCTTAACTACACACTATCTCTACTCTGAATATTTTTAATTTGACTTTGTATTAATTTAGAGCAAAGTATATAAATTTTCCTGAGAATCCATATTTTTTTCAAATACAATATAAACATATTTAAGGATGGAATGCAATCTAACTTTATACCCTAGAAATTTTGATGTTAAAGGGCTCAAATATAGTAGAGGAGTTAAGGCACATAGTTTGCATGAAGCCAACCCTGGTTAATCCCTGAAACTCCATGGCCCCATCTCACCACACTCTCTCCCCTAATTTGAGTATCAATTGATGCAACACTGAACATCTCTGAACACCACTGGCGTGCCCAGCAATCTTAGACACTCCAAAGTCTGAACAGCACCACATCCTTTGGTCTTATTGAACTGCTGGCCTCATTGGGTAAGAATCACCAGGAGGGAGGTTTCGTCTTGGAGGCATCTGTGAGCCCACCGCGAAGACACCATGAGCAAAGCTCACCTCCCAGAGCTGAAAAAAATGTATGGAAAAGAAGTTATCATTGAAATCGAATGGTGGCAGATATGTCTAAGGAATACTTCGAGGATTTGATCCCTTTATGAATCTCGTGATAGATGAATGTGTGGAGATGGCAACAAGTGGGCAACAGAATGATATTGGAATGTTAGTAATACGAGGAAATAATATCATCATGTTAGAAGCCTTGGAGTATGAACAGAGGTTGTTTAGAAGTCAAGTGTTTTCCTGTGTTCCCGTGATTGCATCTTTTTACTAATATAAAGTTGGATAGTGTATATTTTCATGAATGTTTTTGTCAAATAAATTTTTGTAATCTTCAAAAAAAAAAAGAATCACTGGGAGGGGCCACCAGACTCCTGGAACACTGCTTACGAAGATCCCTCCTCCCAAGAAATAAAAGGAAATTTTTTTCTTAATAATGTACTTGTTACTTGAAAGTATGTTTCATCATCTATCTCATCAATGATCAAAATAACATTTATAAATAACTATTCTTTGAAATGATTCATTTCTAGTTTAATGTAGAAGTTTTCAATTTTATTTGGCTTGCCACCCACTTACTAGAAAACAAAAATAATTGCTCATCTCCTACCCTTGGAAATCTGCATTTTTTAAAAACAGAAACAGAAAATGGACCCCAAATTGTACCTCAAGCTACTAATACCTCCCCCGGGAATTTGAGAACATTGGGTTATTGTCTATTTTCAAATAACTTAAGAGGCATTTGCTTATCAGTTGCATTAAATTAAAAATGTGCCACTGGATCATAAACCTAGAAATACTGTGTTTGGGTAAGGTCGACCAGAAGTAATACAAGGGCATTGGTAAAAGATTGTGAGCACTTTGATGACAATAGTGTGCAGTAACTTTATCCTTTAAACGCCATTACAATCACATTACCTAAACTACAAATAAATAAATAAATGAATATTAAAAATATTTTTTTCTCTGGATAAAAAATATGCATCACTATATCAATGAGAGCATATAAAAAGATACAAAGAAATTTTAATATTAAGGCTTACTTATGCTAATGCCATTTTATTTTAGGCCTAAGGGAGCTGTCATGGAAACTTTCCGCTGCTTGGTGTTCCTGATGTTGTGTAAATCTGGTCACCTGAAGCCTCTCATTTCCTCCTTGTCCTCTGCCTTTGAGGTAAGCTGTTTGCTTTAGGTGACTAAAGTATGGATCCATTCATTTGACAATGCTTTCTCTCTTTTGTGACAGAGTTGCTTTTGGAAAATGTTAACCTATATACTTACTTGTTCATTCTTGACTAGTTGTTTCAACTTTATACTTTTCTTCTGTGGGACAGTAAGATAGCTCAGGTGGGAGAACAGTCACCTTGCACTGAATTAAATTCCTGACACCACATGTTTCTACCCAGAATCACCAGGTGTAGCACTGCTTAGTCACTCAACTGTCAGGCCTGTGTGTCCTGGCTGGTCATCACTGGAAGTGCCCTGCATATCATCCTGCCTCCAGTTCCACTGGTTTTGGACCCTGTTATTCCTTCGTTGTGGGGTAGGGGTAGGTGGGAGAGAAGTATGTTAAAATGATTTTTAGCCAGTTGGATTGGTTGATCAAGAGAATGTTCCAAAGATGCTAAGTGGATTACTGACAGTCCTACAGATTTTAGGGATACCCAAGGCACGTTGTCACTGTTGGAGGCTTGTTATTCTTAAATTTCTTTCTTAAGCTATTAAATTTAAGGCTGTAATGTTATGATTAAGATGTCCTATCAATATATCCTTCAATACCTGATGTTTCTATAGTAACAAAATCACTGTATCAAGATATTTTAACTATAAGTGAAGATTGTATATTATTATCTTCTGGAATGATTACAAATTATCTTCCAAAAACTGCATTTTGGGCATATATTTGTTATTTTATATCTTAGACAACTTCTAAAAATTATTATTTATATTAGTAATGTTTTGATGGTCAGTTTTATCCTTTTACATTCAAGGTAATAGTGTTTATATTTTATGCTGAGCAACCTGTTAACATGCCCAGAAATGTGGTGTAGGTAACCTTATTCAAGCAGGAAATACAAATGCTCAGGTCTTCCATGGCATTTACAGAAACAGGAAAACACATGCTTGATAATGATTATGCAATGGAACAAATTTTTTAGAAGACAAAGTTGATGTCTTTCAAGTTACAAGTATGCATATTCTTAAGCAACACTCCCCCTCTCAGAATTTATGTTCTACCGATGACATACACATTTATGCATGTGCGAACTAATATAAATGCAGAATTATTCTTAGAAGCATCAGGTATAACAGCATAAGACTGAAAAAGTATTTGAAATTCTTCTATTTAAGGGTTGGGGATGTGACTCAGTGGCAGAGTACAGATCTCGCTGTATTATCCATGGATCTATAACAAAAATAAAATAAATCATAAAGCATATTTGATTCATAAAATAGCATATACATAGGGAAACTTTAGTTATAATATGAATCATTTACTCTGTGAATAGATTCTATGTACATACAAATAAATGTATTTCTTAAATTTATGCAAATTATCTCAATAGATAGTTAAGTATCTAACATGAGATTTGCTTATGGGAAAGTATGTGACAAGAAGGAAAAAATAAGTGTAGTTCTTCAATAAATTGATAGTTTAAGATTCCTGAAAACTGTGACTATGTTTTCTATGTAAATAAACATCTAAACATTTTAAATAAAACATGGATTCATAGTATCAAAATCTTAACATTCTTGAGGGCTAATATGTTCATATTTTATGTAGACAGTAGGTAATTACATGTATTACGTACATGTAATTTTGTTTCTCATGAGAGCATCTTAAACACAAGATGGAGAAACAGAGAATGTAAATATTTAATAATTCAAAAGTATTCATGCCAAGAAAAAAGACCTTTGAAATCATGAAACAAGGTATTTATAGTCTAAATAATGAAAGACATTTTACATGATAGGTATAAATCAGAATAACTCCATATTAATAAATCTACACTTGGTCACATAATAGTTTATGAGGAAATAAAAATATGTTTTCTTCGAATTACTCAAAATGTGAACTGGTCAAAATGTATGTTTTCAAAAAGACAATTAACTTGAAGCTCTTTGTGTGTTGGATAGTGTCAATAGTGTAGGATATCCATTGAGTCTGATGAACCCTAGCTGTTAGTTGCTGCCAATTCACTGATGAGTCAGTAGGGGAAAGTGAGTAGTTAAGACTGGTCTTGAAGCCAACTTGCCTTAGAACCAGAATTTGACTCTTGGTTCAGAAACTTCGTAGTTGTCTGTCCTTGGGGAAGTACAGGAACACTTAACTATCCTCTAACTTGGCTTTCTTTATCTGTAAAAGAATGAAATAATGATGTCCATCTAGAAGGATTTTGTTATTAAATGGGATAATATGTGAAAGAAATTTAATGTGAAGTTTAACACAAAGAGCCAGAGATAAATTGTGATGTGTGTCTTCGGGATGTATGAGAGCAGAAGGGAGGTGCTTGCTTGTGGGCAGTCATCCTGCTTTGATCTCAAGAAGCAGACATGAATACCACCAGAAGCACCGCCAGGAGTGAGCCCTGAGCACAGAACAAGGGGCAAGCCCAGAGCACAGCCAGCTGGTTCTGGTCCAAACTCAGACATTTTTAAAAATTAAGTTTGAAAGTAACTTACATGAAGATGGTGAAAAGCAGTAATGTTGAACTAAAGGTCATAGTTAGAAATTGTTACCTGTACAAACTCTCCATGTCTTTGGACTTGGACTCAGGTTTTTCAACTATACAAACTGGTTTAATGAGAGCTGATAAGAGTAGGTTCTGTAAACATGGTGTTAGTTAATCAAATTGTAAGGCATCAAAAGTTGTTTTCCTTCTAAACTCAGAAACTAAAGATAATTTAGAGGTCACTTATTAAAACCATTAGTTTTTTTTTATAACACTGTTACAGTTGCATTGATGAGACTATTATTAAAGCTCTTTGCATTTTCTGAAGCCTTTTTTCAAGGACCTTTGCTGCAACTGCATTTTTCATTTAAAATCCTTGATCTATAAGACTATTGCTATTTATTACTGAAAGAAACTGTTGCTATAGGATTACCACGAAGGTGTCATCCTGACTTATGTATTTATTAACTTGTATATTTATTGACTTTAAAAAAGCTGTTTAATATTGATGGAAATAAGTTTTCCATTACAAATATAATGATAGCAATATTCATGAGTTTGGTATGAAACCTACATAAAATAATGCAATCCACCTTTTGGCTGCTTATAGTTTGTTAACTGACACTATGTTTACAGAACTTATTCCTGTTATTTTATACACATACACATAAAAGGATAGGTATACACATACACTATCATAAGTATAAATATATGTGTACTACGTATGTTAGATATAGAAAAATGCATAAAGTCAATGATAAGAAAATAGACTCATTAAAATGGTGGGTGAGCTGAAGAAATGTTATATACGAAAGAAGATACAAAGATGACCATCATGCATGTGAAATACATTCATCATCACTGATTATCTGGAAAATTATGATCACAACAAAATGACAAATCAATTCCATCACTGAAAATGATTTTAATTTTTAAAAAAGCCAGAAACAACCACTCCAGACAGTGATGTAGAAACATATTGACTGATGGGAATAAGTGTTTTGATCTCTCTGGAAAATAGTACATAGATTTCTCAGAAAAAAAAGAAAGAAAAATAAAGAGAAATAATAACATCTATGATCCTACAATCTACTCCTAGTTATCTATCAAAGAAGACTAGCTTATTTGTAGCACTATATATAATAACCAAAATAATAAGGTAATAACCCAAGGACCCAACAACATATGAATTGAGAAAGTTGTGTTTTATATAGGTGTCTGTGTGAATATATATATTTATATACATATATACTACTCTACTATTAGAAAAGATGAAATCTTGTCTTTTTAATAATATGAATGGAACTGGAGGAGGTCATATTTATTGAAATAAATCAGAAGGAGCAGCAAGTATCAAATGATTTCACTAATGTATGTTATATGAAACACAAAGCTTGGGAAGAGAAAATATTCAATGCAGACAAACTGTGAGTTTGATCACAAATTAAAACCATAAAGGCTTTTTTGTGTTAGACTTTGTTTGATAATATTACACCCCTAAAACTTAGACATTTACTCTTTGTATGTTGCTTTAATTAAAAATAAGTTGTATCTCCTCCACTGACATAGTAGAAAATTATAGTGAAAAACTTAAATGGAAAAATGGGCTAGAATATAAGAAGCACTGGGTACATTTTATTTATTTTCATCATTCATATTTTTGTAATTGCTTTATTAAAGAAAAACAATTGAATTTCCATGGTTAAATTTGAATCAGTCTTCTTCAAGTGGCAGTCTAACTGTATAGTAAATAATAAAGGGGTAAAAAAAGGCCGTCCCGTTGATCATTGATTTGCTCGAGCAGGCCCAGTAACGTCTCCATTGGAGACTGTTGTTACTGTGTCTGGCATATCGAATACTCTCGGTAGCTTGCCGGGCTCTCCGAGAGGGGCAGAGGAATCAAACTCGGGTCGACCATGTTGACTGCATGCAAGGCAGACGCCCTACCCGCTGTGCTAAATAATAAGTATTGTATTATTAAACTTGGGAACAAACCTTTCTTCCATTTCTTTGCAAAGATTATTTTAAATAATTGCATCTTGTTACTATTCCTTTTTTGACTTGTAAAGGGTTTCATGTTATTGTAAACAGACATCATTTAAATAGAGTCAAACATTATTTTCATTGAAATCAGTCCTTACTGTAGTTCTATCTTCTGTCCATTCTTCCCTTTCTGTGACTAAAATTAGACTCTTCATCTTCAAGATGTCCCTAAAGAAATTAGCCACCAATCACAGCTTCCCCACAGCACCCAACATTGATGAGAATCATGCTACCAATTATCATAGACATCTCTTATTGACTTTTGATGGAGGTTCTTTCCTAATAAACTCACTATATATTGAGAATGCTTGCGATAGCACAGCGGGTAGGGCGTTCGCCTTACAAGCGGCCAACATGGCCGACCCGAGTTCGATTCCTCCGCCCCTCTTGGAGAGCCGGCAAGCTACCGAGAGTATTTGATATGCCAGACACAGTAACAACAAAGTCTCCAATGGAG